CAAACCAAACCCAAAGCAAAGAGAAGAAAGTAATAAACATAAGAGCAGAAATCAAGGAAATAGAAAATGGAGAAAATCAATCAAACTAAATGTTGGTTTCTGAGAAGATGGAATTAATAAACCTCTAGTTATAATTATTGGAAAAAAGAGAAGAAACAACCTAATGATACCAGGAATGAGATATGAAACATCACATCAGATTCTATATACCACATTTAAAGGTCATAAGGAAGAATTATGAACAACTTTATGCCAACAAATCAGAAAACCTCAATGAACCAGCAAAGTTCTTTGCAAGACAAACTATCAAAGCTCACTCGAGAAGAAATAAATGGAATAATCCTTTATCTATGGAAGAAAGTGAATCTGTAGTTAAAACCTTCCCATAAAGAAAATTCCAGGCCCAGATGATTTCCTTGGTGAATTCTACCAAACATTTAAGGAAGAAATAATACCAATTCTACACAAACTGCTTGAGAAAATTGAAGAGGAGGGAATACTTCCCAACTTATTCTCTGAGGTTAGCATTACCCTGATACCAAAATTGGAAAAAGACACTAGAAGAAAAGAAAACTAAAGATCAATGTCTTGTAAACATCGAATTTAAAAACCTTATATTTATTAGCAATTTCAATCCAACGACTTATAAAGAGGATAATTTATCATGACCACGTGGGATTATCCAAGAATGCAAGGTTAGGTCAACATTTGAAAAATCAATCAATGTAATTCATTATATTAACAAAGTAAAATAACTAAAATCATCTTATTATATAATTGGATGCAGAACAGCGTTGGAAAAAAATCAACAAGAGTTCAAAATAAAAACTCTCAAAAAATTAGAAATAGAAGGGAACTTCCTCAATCTGATTAAGGGCATTACTGAAAAACCTGCAGTTAAGATCATATTAAGGGGGCTGGCCCTGTGGCTGAGTGGCTAACAGTTCCTCATCCTCTGCTTCGGCGGCCCAGGGTGCATGGGTTCAGATCCTGGGTGCAGACCTACTCCACTCATCAGCTGTGCTGTGGAGGCAACCCACATACAAAGTAGGGGAAGCTTGGCACAGATGTTAGCTCAGGGCTGATCTTCCTCAAGCAAAAGAACAAAAAAAAAAAAGGAAGATTGGCAATGGATGTTAGCTCAGGGCGAATCTTCCTCACGTAAGAAAAAAAAATATCCTATTAAGGTTGACTGTATATTTTCTCTCTAAGCTGTAAATAAGGTCAAAACTACTTCAATTCTGCACTGTATTGGAGGTGTTACTCAGTATAACAAGGCAAGAAAAAAAGAATGAAAGGAAATCAGATTAGAAAAGAAGTAAAACTATATTTGTAGACCATATGATCATCAACATAGAAAATTTTTAAAAAAAAACAAAATCTGTAAAAACTACCAGAATAACTAAGGTTAGCAAAGTCAAGGATATCAGGTGAGTACATAGAAATCAAGCGTATTTTTATATTCTAACAGTGAACAACAGTAAAGGAAAATTTAAAAAACAATACCATTTACAACAGCATCAAAATATAGGAAATAGTAATAAAGTTAAGATCAGATTGGCTAGATGTGCACACTAAAAACCATACAGCGCTGAGAAGAGAAAATGTAAAAACCTGGGTCAACAAGGAGATGCACCACACTCACGGGTCAGAACCATACAGCGTTGAGAAGAGAAAATGGAAAAACCTGGATCAACAAGGAGATGCACCACACTCACGGGTCAGAACCATACAGCGCTGAGAAGAGAAAATGTAAAAACCTGGGTCAACAAGGAGATGCACCACACTCACGGGTCAGAACCATACAGCGCTGAGAAGAGAAAATGGAAAAACCTGGGTCAACAAGGAGATGCACACACTCACGGGTCAGAACCATACAGCGCTGAGAAGAGAAAATGGAAAAACCTGGGTCAACAAGGAGATGCACCACACTCACGGGTCAGAACCATACAGCGCTGAGAAGAGAAAATGGAAAAACCTGGGTCAACAAGGAGATGCACCACACTCACGGGTCAGAACCATACAGCGCTGAGAAGAGAAAATGTAAAAACCTGGATCAACAAGGAGATGCACCACACTCACGGGTCAGAACGTGCAATATTACGAAGGGAATTCATTGCAGACTGATCCACAGATTCAACGCAATCCTAATCAAGAGACATTTTTACAGAAACAACAACCTAAGGCTGATAATACAAATGGAAATGCAAAGGCTCTAGAATAACCAAATTAATTTGATAAAGAAGAAAAAATAGGAGGATTTACACTTTAGTGATTAAAACTGTATGGTATTTATATAAATATAGACATGCAAAAACAAAGGAACAAAAAGAATCCAGAAATAGTCTTACACACATATAACCACATGATTTTCAACAAAAGCGCCAGGGTAGTCAACAGGTAGAAAACAATATTTTAGATCCTTACGCAAAGAAATGAACCTTGGCCCTTATCTCACACCATAAATAAAAATTAACTCCAAATGAACCTACTAAAACTTCTGGAGTAAAATACAGGAGAAAATACTTCTGGCCTTGGCTTAGACAAAGATTTCTTAGGTCAAAAGACCCCACAAATTAGAAAAGAAAAATTAATAAATTGGACTTGATCAAACTTAAAAAATTTTGTCATATGGAAGATACTGTTAAGAAAACGAAAATGCAAACCACAAACACGGGGAATATATTTTCAAAACCTACAACCGAGAATGAACTTTGAATGCAGAATATATAAAGATCTCTTAGACTCATTTATAAGAGGAAATCAATAAACTAAAAAACGCAATCTAAAACTAAAAAGCCAATAATTTAAACACATAACCAAAGAAGACATACAGATGGTAAATAAGCACGTGAAAATATGGTCATCATTAGTTTTTAGACTAGTGGATGTCAAAACCACAATGAAAATCCAATACACATTCACAAGAATGGCTGAAATTAAAACGACTGACCATACCATGGATTGAAAGAATGTAGAGCAACTGAAATTATCATATGTTGTCGATGGGAATGCAAAGTGGTACATCCAGCTTGGAAAACAGCTTAACAGTCATTTACAAAGTTAAACATATCAAATGATCAGGAAATTCCACTCTTACATATTTCCCCGAAAGAAAAAAGACACATGTCTACAAAAGACTTGTATGTAAATAACTGTAGTAGCTTACTTATAATAATTCAAAACTGTAACAACCCAGTTGTCCCTCCAACTGGGGAACAGATAAACAAATTGCTGTATATATCTATACCATGGAATACTAATCAGCAATAAAAAAGAAATGGACTACTGATATATGCAACACGGATGAATCTTAATTATGCCGATATAAAAGAACGCATACTGCATGATTCTAGTCTTCTGGAAACCCAGGAAAAGGTAACTCACACTGACAGAAAGCTGATTATTAGCTGCCAGGAGCCAAGAGGTAGGAGTAGAAGTGTAACTAGAAAATGTACGTGAGGGAAATCTGGAGGGTGATGGAAATGTTCTATGTCTTAATTGTGATGGTGGTTATAAGGATATAAACAATTATCAAGGAGCCGGCCCCGTGGCTGAGTGGTTAAGTCCGCGCGCTCCACTTCTGCGGCCAGGGTTCGGATCCTGGGCGTGGACAAGGCACCACTCATTAGGCCATGTTGAGGCGGCATCCCATACGCCACAACTAGAAGGACCCACAACTAAAATGTGCAACTATGTACTGGGGGGATTTGGGGAGAAAAAAGCAGGGAAAAAAAAAAAGATTGACAGTTGTTAGCTCAGGTGCCAATCTTTAAAAGAAAAAAAAAAATTATCAAAAGTCATAGATTTTTCTGCTTAAAACTGGTGAATTTTACTGTATATCAATTATATCTCAAAAAAGCTGACCAAAACAGATACCTGATGCAGGGAAATGCACAGTACTCTCTGAGTAGTGTGATTTGTAGAAGTAAACAGAGTGAATCAGTCCTAAATAAGCCCTCTGCTGAAGTTCTGTCTGGGCACCCATGAGTGAACACCTCCTCTGCGGTCACTGCCTTGCTGCATACTCCTTCAGACACAAAAGTGGGGAGGCAGGAAGTATGGTTTATTCAACCCGAGGTTGCCAGTGACTAAATAAGGTTTGCATATACTTGGCACTTTCAGTCAACATTTGTGAATAAATGCTTAACTACACACAAACTCTTAAAGCCCTGTAAGAAGCCAGGGTACATTCAACGGCCTTCCATTCAGTGGTTAGACGATAACACTCATAAGATAGTCACTAGTTTGTATATTTCATTGTTTAGAACTATCCTGTGACATTATTTCACAAGAAAAGCAAATTTAAAAAACGTTTTGTGGATCATATTTGGATAAGCAAATTTTAATTCATGATGCAGGTATTTGATCTCTTCGTTCATCAAATCTTCATTTTTTTTTCCCCCCGCTTTCTCTCTCCAAACCCTGCCCCATACATAGTTGTATATGTTAGCTGCAGGTCCTTCTAGTTGTGGCATGTGGGACGCTGCCTCAACGGGGCTTGACGAGCAGTGCCACATCCGTGCCCAGGATCCGAACCAGCGAAACTCCAGGCCAACAAAGCGGAGCACATGAACTTAACCACTTGGCCAAGGGGCTGGCCCCAAAACTTCACTGTTAACACAAGGAAAAAGCTATAAAGCTTCTGCATTTTAGTATCTTTTAGTTAGGATTTAAAATAATTCTAGAAGCATTAACTAAATTCTTCATCAATTGCTTTACACCTTTTACACAGGAAAAAATCAGATAGTTCCTCTATATTTGAATTATGGAGAGTTAACTTATTCTTCTGGAGAATTTTATCCCATATACTAATTATAAAAAAATGTAAAAAAATTAACTTATTGCTTATAAAATTGAATATATAGCTAACATAAAAACAACAATTAGGAGTTTTAAAAAGATGTTTTATAAATCAATACAGCAAAACTTCTTGACATTAAATGTTAAAGTAAGTGAAAAACTTTGAAATGAATTTGCAAAATAAACAGTACACTTACAATCTGTTGCCATACGAAATTGAGAAGAAAGTGCTTGAGTAACTGAATTCCAAAACGTGTATAAAATCTCAGGTTGTCCATCCTGCGACCCAAAAAAAGAGATGCGTTCATTAATTTTTGAAAATTATAATGGATAAGATGTAACGTTGAAAATTTACTAAAAATGTATTTAAATGAAAATTTCCAAGGCCTCTATCAAACAAGGGAATTACTGGAATTATTAAGTAACTAAGTATAAATATACAGACGACTCAAATTATGTCTCATGTTCAAGTAATCAGTCATCTTCCTTCTCTGCTACTTACTAGCTCCGTGAGCTTGGGCAAGCTGCTTAACCACTCTGTGCCTCCTTCCCATCTATAAAATGGAGATAACGGTAGCTACAGTGCAGGATTATTAAGAGGATTTTAAAACTTTATAAAGGTAAAATCTTGATGAGATGCAGGGAGAGTGGCGCCAGAGAGAGCATGGAAGCTCTGCACCCCTCCCGTACATCTTGCCCTAAATACCTCTTCATCTGGCTATTCCTCTGTATCTTTTATAATATCCTTTAATAAACTAGCAAAAGTAAAAAAATCTAAAAAAAAAAGTCTTGAGACAGTTCCTGACATATAATAAACCCTCAGTGAATGTTAGTTACTATTAATACAATAATTGTCATCATCATCATCCTTTGTTATACAGAAGGTAATTTGTGTCACCCTAACAAAATGATGGACAAAGTATGCTTATTAGACCAAGAATGCTCAGCAAAATATAGTTCACGAATTACAAAAAAGAACTGCCTGAAGTACAGTGGACACAGTTCTTAAAAAAAAAGTCACAGAGCTGCCCGCCGGGTGGCGTAGTGGTGAAGTTCGTGCACTCTGCTTTGGCATCCGGGATTTGCAGGTTCCAATCCCAGCCACAGACCTGCACACCGCTCATCAAGCCACGCTGTGGCGGTGTTCCACAGACAAAGCAGAAGAAGACTGGCAACAGATGTTAGCTCAGGGCTTATCCTCCTTAAACACATACAAAACAATCACAGGAATTACTTACTACTACTCAGCATGATACTTTCATTCAACTTTGAATACACGTTTTAGAAATTAATTACTAAAAGGAAAAGATAAATACTGGTTCGAGTATCATTTGTTAAAATATGACAAAGAACTTTAATACTGTTGAAAGAGAATCACACTTGTAGAAGTTTTACCAAGTACCTTTAGGGAACTTCTACATGGGTAGTGTACAGTATCAAATTACCAATATTCTATCTTTGAAGTACAAAAATACCTATTTCATATGGTTTACCCTAATAACATAAATAAAATGTCTAATGTTCAAATGATTATTGTCATAAAAAGAAAAATTAAGAAATTCGTTAATTCTGTTTTAGTGTTACACTTGTAACAAATGAAATTCTAATTTCAAATTCTAATTCTTTGTGTGTGTGTGTGTGTGTGTGTGTGTGTGTGTGAGGAGGATTGGCCCTTAGCTAATATCTGTTGCCAATCTTCCTCTTTTTGCTTGAGGAAGATTGTTGCTAAGCTAACATCTGTGCCAATGTTCCACTATTTATGAGGGATGCCACCACAGCATGGCTTGATGAGCGGTGTTAGGTCCATGCCTGGGATCTGAACCCACGAACCTTGGGCCGCCGAACCAGAGTGCACAAACTTAACCACTATGCCACTGGGCTGACCCCTCATTACTAATTCTAAATTTAAAAAATGGCCAGCAAAAAGATACTGATTTCTCACGTTTACACCTATGCACACTTCTATTTTCATTGTAATTTGTTTCTTTGTTTAATAAGTCTTTGGTTTTGAATTCAACTGGGTATTGCATATAATAAAAATAATGGTGGGGGCCAGCACCATGGTGTAGTGGTTAAGTTTGGCATGCTCCCCTTCAGTGGCGCCAGTTCACAGGTTCAGATCCTGGGCATGGACCTACATTACTCATCAGCCATACTGTGGTGGTGACCTACATATAAAGTGGAGGAAGACTGGCACAGATGTTAGCTCAGGGCTAATCTTCCTCAAGCAAAAAAAAAGGAGGACTGGCAACAGACACTAGCTCAGGGCTCATCTTCCTCAGGAAAAGTAAAAAAAGTAATAATGATAATTGTTAATTTTTTATGCAATGGTCAGAAAATAGATTCAGACTCCCAAGATGTTATGCAATATGTGTATTGTATATTATGCACCTTAGTTTAAAGTAGATATTTTTCATCATATTAAAGAAGTATTGTAATATACCACCTTAACAGAATGAAGGACAAAAACCACATGATCATCTCAACTGACACACAAAAAGCATCTGACAAAATCTAACACCTTTTTCATGATAAAACCACTCAAAAAGCTAGGAACAGAAGGAAATCATCTCAACGTAATAAAGGCCATATAGGAAAAGCCCACAGCTAATATCAGAACGGTGAAAAACTGAAAGCCTTCCCTCTGAGAAACATTTGATGACTATAAATATACTTTTACATACATAGACTTAAAAAAGAAAACTTGAGTCAATCTTGCTTAAGAATACAAATACAAAATTCTCAGACATGAAAGCAAATTTATTATTTAAAAAATTTCTTTTTAAGATTGGCATGTGAGCTAACATCTGTTGCCAATCTTCTCCTCCTCCTCCTTCTTCCCAAAGCAACCCAGTACACAGATGTATATTCTAGTTGTAGGTCCTTCGGGTTGTGCTATGTGGGATGCTGCCTCAGCACGGCTTGATGAGCGGTGCTAGCTCTGTGCCCAGGATCTGAACCAGTGAAACCCTGGGCCACCGAAGCAGAGTGCACAAACTTAACCACTCAGCCACGGGGCTGGCCCCAAAAGCAAATTTATTTTAACAGTATATTAAAATAATTATTTGGATAAGGAGTTAATATCCAAAATATACAAAGAACTCAAACATCTCAACAAAAAAAAAAACCCAACAACCCAATTAAAAAATGGGCAAAGATCTGATCAGATATTTCTCCAAAGAAGATATACGGATGGCCAACAGGCACATGAAAAGAGGCTCAACATCATTAGCTATTAGGAAAATGCAAATCAAAACTATAATGAGATATCACCCCACACCAGTCACAATGGCTACAATTAACAAGACAGGAAACAACAAGTGCTGGAGAGGATGTAGAGAGAAGGCAACCCTTGTTCATTGCTGGTGGGAGTGCAAACTGGTGCAGCCACTATGGAAAGCAGTATGGAGTTTACTCAGAAAATTAAGAATAGATCTACCATATGATCCAGCTAACCCACTGCTGGGTATTTATCCAAAGAACTTGAAAACACAAATACATAAAGATACATGCACCCCTATGTTTATTGCAGCATTATTCACAATAGCCAAGACTTGGAAGCAACCAAGGTGTCCATTAAGGGACGAATGGATAAAGAAGATGTGGTATTTATATACGATGGAATACTGCCTAGCCATAAGAAATGATGAAATCCGGCCATTTGTGACAACATGGATGGACCTTGAAGGTATTATGCTAAGTGAAATAAGTCAGAGGGAGAAAGTCAAATACCGTATGATCTCACTCATAAGTAGAAGATTAAAACAACGACAAACAGATAGCAACAGAGATTGGATTGGTGGTTACCACAGGGGAAGGGGGAGGGGGTACAGCAAAATGGGGGATTAGGCTCACATGTGTGGTGCTGGATCATAATTAGCTTTTGGGTGGTGAACATGATGTAATCTACACAGAAATCAAAATATATTACATCTGAAAGCTATATAGTGTTATAATCCAATGTTACTGCAATAAAAAAATAAAAATTAAAAAAATAACGTGACATTAAAAAAACCCAATGAATATAATAAAAATGTTTGATTTAAAAATAAAACAATTATTTGAATATATGTAAACAAGTAGGATTTATGTCAGCAATGTAAGTATCATTTAATATTAGGAAATCTATTAATATAATAGCTCAATGTTTCCAATAAGAAATTTACAGGATCATTTAATACTCTTTAATATAATAAATACTTAATACCCAGTCCTCAAATTTTTTAAATGCAAAGAAAATGATGCATAAAATGATTCTTTTCTTCTTTTAAATTGTGATAAAAACCAAAATTTACTATCTTAACCAGTTTTAAGTGTACAGTAGTGTTAACTGTATGCAACTTGTTGCAAAATTGACACTCTATACCTATTGAACAACTCTCCTTTTTCTCCTCTCCCCAGACCCCTGGCAACCACCTATCTACTTTCTGTTTCTAAGAGTGACTACCATAGATACTTCATATAAGTAGAATCACACAATATTTGTCTTTTTGTGTTTGGCTTATTTCATTTAACATAATATCCCCAAGTTTCATCTATGTTGTAGCATATGATAGGATTTCCCTCTTTTGTAAGGCTGAATAATATTCCATTGTGTATATTCTCCATATTTTCTTTATTCATTCATCTGTAAATGGACACTAGAACTGCTTCTACATCTTGGCTACTATTAATAATGCTGCAACGAACACTGGTGGGCAAATATCTCTTCAAGATCTTGTTTTCAATTCTTTTGGTTATATATCTCCAGAAGTAAGATTTCTGGATCATATGGTAATTCTATTTTTAATTTTTTGAGGAACCTCCATACTATTTTTCATAGCAGCTGCCCCATTTTACATTCCCGTTAACAGTGTAGAAGGGTTCCAATTTGCCACATCCTCACCAACACTTGTTGTTTTCTGGGGGTTTTTGATAGTAGTCATCCTAATGAGGGCAGGGTGATATCTCATTATGATTTATTTTTGCTGAGGAAGATTAGCCCTGAGGTAACATCTGCTGCCAATCTTCCATTAGCCCTGAGCTAACATTTCTGCCAATCTTCCTCCACTTTATATGTGAGTTGCTGCTACAGCAGGGCTGACTAGCAGTGTAGGCCCACGCCTGGGATCCGAACCCATGGACCAGGGCTGCCAAAGCTAAGTGCACCAAACTCAACCACTACACCACAGGGCCAGTCCCAATATCTCATTATGATTTTAATTTGCATTTACTGATGATTAGTGATGCTGATCATCTTTTCATATGCTTGTTGGCCATTTGTATGTCTTCACTGGAGA